TTGCAGCAAAGAATTTATTGTTTTTTTTTTTTTTTTTTTTTTGACAAAAACAAGCAATTTGAAATTTTGAATTGACTAACTAATTATGTTATATAAGTTATACATCGTCAAGCTTCTTTTTCTTTTGGACTTATCTGTGCTCTTGTGCGACACTTAGCTATGGTTGGCAGCACTAGCTAAGTCAACCTCAAAGAGGTGGCAGCACTTTGGCGTGCTAAAAGAGAGAACTCACACGTAAGGTAAAGTGAGTGATTGATTAGAGAGAAAGATGCAGGAATTGTATTACAACTCTCAATAACTATGGTACTCTAGCTCTCCCAGCTTTGTCTCACCACTTGGTTCCTTCATTTTAAGTTTGTTGCTTTCAAACCAATTCCAAACTTAGGCCGTGCAGGGTGCCTTCAGCCCCTGTGTTTGCCTTTAACTGTATTTGGTTGCTCCTCGCAAGCCATTGTGCTTCGGCCCCTCGCCTAGCGCCTTCTATTGTGGTGATGGATGACTACAGGGTAGAAGTAGTGTTGGGATTGGACATCACAAGATTTTGGAGACATTGTGGAGTGATTTAGTAGATCCTTATTACAGTTACCCACTCCCATTCAAGATAGATGAACTTAAAGTACATATACAGGACACCAGATTTTTGGTCATTTTCCTGAACTCATCATGTGGTTAATGTACCTGGAACTGAACTTATATAGGCTGGAATTTTTTTCTCAAGCATGCGCTATACCTAGTTGTAGTAATTGTGTATTATAAATAACATTGACATAATTCTGAGGTTCTGTAATTGGGTTTAATTTTAGGACTCGGTATCTTATTTTTATTATCTGTATATTCTTCCGTTTTTGTAATATAATCATTCTCATGTCCTTAATTTCTTGTTATTTCTTTCATGTCTACCAGGATAGTTTTCTTCCTGGAGTGAGTATTTATCTGGTTAAGTTTGCTGCCGAGGAATTAAGCTGCTAAAAATTTCAACACTTTCTGTCTGAATTATATCTCGAAAGGCTTTGTTGGAATGCAACAGCATCACCAAGTCAGCAATATAAATCCCGTGACAAACAAATGTTGCAGCAGCAAATTATGCTTAAACAGATTCAGGAAATGCAGCGGAGGCAGCAGCTCCAGGAGATGGGCGAAGGAAGAAAACAGAATTATGTAAATCAACGTCCATCACTAAAGCAGGCTTCAGGTGCTCAATTTCCTCATCCAATTAATGGAGCAACCATTAATGATTCATCGCAAATGTTTGTGGACGTGATACAACATGGTGGATCGGCGACTTTTCAAGGTTTTTCTAATGGATTGGGTCTTTCAGAACCTCAGAATCTGCCTGGACGTCCTCTGGGCTTTTCACAGCAGCAGTTTGGCATACCTTTATATTCTCACCTCCAGGGGCCGTCTAATGACTCTGCCAATATAACGGTCATGAACAAAAATATCCCATTGGAAATGCCCACCATGCAGCCATCGGCCTTTGTTAACTCAGTTATTAGTCAAAGAAGCAATTTCTCTTCAGACCAGATTTGCATCCCTGATGGAGCTCTGCTGCCCAATCAAGTGTTTGAGGAGAAGAAATTGTTTGGACAAGGCCTCGTTCAAGGTCTCAATGATGGGAATTTACATGAGAACTATTCCCAGCAAAGGAACACGTCAATTCTTGAATCTGAAGAGATGCAAAAACAAGCTGGCTTGCATGGACTTGCTCCAGGAAACGTGCCAAAACCTGGCCTTTTTCTGCAGCCTGGCACTTCTCTCGACCCATTGGAACAGAAGATATTATACAATACGGAGGATAACACGGATGCTGGAGGCTTTGCAACTACCCTGGATCTCACATCTTATATGGATGAATTGCCTTCTATGCAAAGTGGTAGCTGGAGTGCTCTTATGCAGTCAGCCGTGGCAGAAACTTCGAGTAGTGACAATGGGGTACAAGAAGGGTGGAATGGTTTGAGCTTTCAGAACCCAGAACCTTCAACTGACAATCACTGCTCTAATTACATTGATGGTGAGAAGCAGCAAAAGAATTGGTTTGACATGCCAAGTTCAAAACCTGAGCCCTTTTTCCAGAATTCCAATCTGAACTACAGCTTTCCTGGTTTTCAGCAATCAAATGACCAATATGTCAAACAAAGAGAGGAGTCACATTCTGAGTCTTCCCATTCTTCTATTCAGCAGTCCACTAGAAATAATAACAAATTGTCAGATTATAGCCCTCAACAGAAGCATCCTATAGAAGGAAGTCAAATGATTCAAACATCTTCGCCTGTGCCAAACTTTTGGCTTGGTCAGCATCACGAGAATTTGAAAAATGATACAGATCATTCTAGCTTTTTGTCATATGCCAATGTGAACCAACCTTTCAGCAGCCTCTCAGGTAAGAAAAATGTTCTGTCTTTAGTATCCTTAAGCATTGGCAATTCAATAATAAACATTCCTGATTGATGAATGATAAGTGATAAGTATGAAGTTTGGTTGGACTCATCAACGTTTGGTACTAATGTCATATATGTTAGAATTTTTTTATTTTTTATTTTTTTAACTTTAAGCATTGGAAATTCCTAGGGAAATCTTGACGACAGGTTTCTCTCTGATGCAGGGCAGGAATCGAGAGGCAAGCTTCATGGCATTACACCTCAGCACGTGCATGGGGGCAGTCAAAAGCTATTTGATCAGGTCGGTGTTGTATGTTTTTCCTGCTAGCTCGATCCTAATATTTTATGAACTGAAAATGAACTTAATACAACCAGCTTATCAATGTTTGTTAATCCAAATGTCTGATGTTTCCGAGTCTGAGGCAAACATTAAAAAGGTAAAAGAGTTTCTATTTATTGAAGTTTTTTATATTTTCTAACCTGATCTTTGTATATAGGTACTCCAGCCGAATAATCAAAGGTACTCAATAGAACCAGCGAAAATGGCTCCTGGAAGCAATTTTGTGCCCACGTCATCTCTCTTTGGTTCAGTCACTCATCTGAACATCCGAAGTGTGACTGCTCAAACAAGGTAGTCACTGTTTACAAGTTATCTATGGAGAACGTCTTGTTGGATGAAGAAGGCAATTGTATTCTCTTTTTCTACTTTAGCATCATTAATTTCTTTATGGACTTTCTTTACTTCTTAATCTTCATTATTGTCTTGCTTTTGTCTGTGTGTCCTTTACCTCTTATTTTGTGCGACTCCTCTGATTTATTTTTTCTATGGCAGTGAAAGTATGCTTGATCTACTTAGCAAGGATGACATATCCATAGAACAAGCACATGAGAACTTGAACCCAAACGACTCAACACAAAAGGAAGTGCCATTAACTGAAACTTCTGCGACTTTTGGTAAATCACACAACATTTCTTCTGTACCACAAGGATTTGGCTTAAGATTGGGACTTGCAGATCAGCAGACTCCAGAGCCATACTCTTTCTTTCAAACTTCCTCGGTGAGTAAAACGACTTCTGTTCATGTAAACCTTGAGAGCTTGTATTGAAGGGTCCACTATTGTGGCACCGCCATTACATTTCGCAGTTTGCAAATTTAATATTTTTTAGTCTATTCAATAGTTTTTTTTTGCCTAAAATATGCAGGGGAACTCAAGTGCAACATCGCCTTCAAATCGTTTGCATCTTCAAAATCATCGTACTTCAGCTCCACCTGTGGCGATGGCGAGTCATTTATCAAGTAAACTTCCAGCATATAGTGCTGCTGCCTCCCAAGATAATGGCTCTCTCAAAAGCGCCCATCTTTATGATCAAGAATTGCCTATTTTGGGATCTGTTCCAGTCACTCAGTGGCCAGCTCTGCTCCAATCCTCTGATTTAGGTTTGAGCAGTCTGCAGGATACTGCAGGGCATTCACATGAACAGCATAATCAAAACTCTTTTAAACAAGAAAACAGTGTACAAGAATATGGTGCCTATTCAGGAAAATCAGATCGTCATGAACAGCAGTTGGGGAAAGAGGTGTCCCACCAATTTGGCTCAACTGGGGTAGGTATCTCAATTTCACGGAGTAGATCTATTCACGAGAACGAGTCTATGGGAAAGAATCACTTAGAAGCAGATGTTGAAACTGGTTCATTGATGCATCACTCTGATATTGCACATCAGAGAGTCAACCAAACCCCTTTATTTCCAGCTAGAGATACTGGAGCCTTTGGCAATTCTTTATATGCTCTTAATCAAAATCACTCCTTTGTGCACCCGGTGCAAATGCCTCTAAAACACGTGGAAGTTGATTCAAGTAAAAGGTTACCAATTAAATGTGAAGGTGTTGATTCTGGTATTAACTACCAGCAGCGTGGACAGAAGTCAAGAATCAACGATTTGGAGAAAAATGATGCAATTTTGTCTGGGAACAATAGAACACCATGGAACTTTTGTCCAGAGGCCCAAGGTGATCAGTTGGGCAAAACTTCATCACAGGCTTACCTTCATGATTCCCAACAGATGGCAATGTTCGGCCAAAATGATACTCAGAGTGCGTCCATCGGTAGTAATGAAGGTTCTAATGTTACATATCAGTCCCAGATTAGTTTGCAAATGGCTCCATCCTGGTTTAAACATTATGGAACCTTAAAAAATGAGACGTGGCCACGGTTCGATGCCAATGCTGAAATTACTGCAGTACATCAACTTTCTGGAAGGACTCTAGCTAACTTGCCAACAAATAGCTCGATTCTGCAGGTGAATTCGGCTAGTCAAGGAAGCAGCATATGGCCAATTACAGTAGGAAGTAACCAATTATCTCCTTCTAATGTGTTACCTTCAGATATCACCTATACAAACTTGGCAGTTTCAAGACCGAAGAAGCGTAAGATCATTGCATTTGAACTTGTACCATGGCACAAAGTAACTCAAAATTCGTGTAGGCTTCAAAATACCAGGTTTGTTTGAACTATTGTGACATTTTCTGCTTACTGAGTGTTTGAATATGTTGCTAATAGAACCATTTCCTGCTTCTACTATCAATTGCTGCCTAAGTGTGCCTCATCCTCACCCAGCGCACATAAAAAAATTTAAGGATAACACTGATGTTTCCTAGTTTTCCATTGTCCTTTTATTGTACTGCAGCATTTCTGAGTTAGAATGGGCACAAGCTACAAATAAAATCTTTGAAGAGGTGAGGCAGATCACATATCGAAAGTCAATACTATAAACAATTTGACGAGATGTTCTGGTATAGAAGAATTAAAACTTGTTCATAATAATTTTCATATTGGCAGGTTAAAATGGAAGCCGTAGTTCTTGAAGATATTCACCCATCGGTTCGAGCAAAAAGAAGGCTTATCTTTACAACACAGCTTATGCAGCAGGTATTTCGGCCTGCACCGACAGTCATTCTCTCTGCAGATGCAAGCCCAAACTACGATTTCATGGCATATTTTGCTGCAAGATTAACGTTGGGAGATGCCTGCTGCCTGGCTCAATTTCAGTCTGACACAAGCGACAAGTAACAGTTGTTTTATACATGTTCATTCCATTTCTATTCTTAACTCAAGTAGTTATTATTTCCAAATCAGAGATGATGGTAATCGTGGCTTTGCATTTCTGAACGTCACTTTTTAAAATATGATTAGGTCACCTGAGAAGCTGAAAACTTTCAAGAGAACTGGTGCTTATGATCTCTCAAAAGTTGCAGAAAACTTCACTAGTCAACTGAAGATGCTCAAGGGAAACATGTTAAGGTAAGAATATATTTCTCTAGGAATCAAACCGCAAACTTGAGAAATTGTACAGCCAAGGATCAAAACAATATATGTTCAGTAAGGTGGATTAGATAGTACTGAACCCTGAACATGTTATCTATTTTGCTTTCAAAACGATCTAATACTCCATACCAAACACTTACTTGAGGTTGGATCATTTTACATCTGCCTTGGACCTTTTCTTTATGTTTCCTATAGATATAAGATAAGTAGTACAGAAGCTAGTAAACATATCGTGTAATTTGATGATGCAGATTGGACAAGACTTTATCGTTTACGGACGTTAAGGTAGAAGCCCAGGAGTTGGAGAAGTTCTCGATCATCAACCGTTTGGCAAAGTTTCACGGCAGGGCTCATCAGGGTGTAGTCGACACAGCATCATCTTCTGGCACAACACCATCAGCTCAGAAACACCTACAGAGATATGTTATCGCAGTTCCAATGCCTAAGTCAGTACCAGAGGGAACAAATTGTCTTCCATTGTGATCATTGATTGATCAAAGCCATTCCGTCAGTGCCCTCTGTCCCTACAACACGAATCTGCTGCTGCGTGCTTTTACAATCCTTCGGAAATGAACAGAGCAGAACCGAATACGCGCTGACTGCTAGTGAGGCTATCGAGGCGGTAAGATTTGTTGTTTTTGATAAAGCACATAAATTGTTCTTTCTAATGTGCGTGAAATGTTGAGTATTTCGAGCATGTAACTCACCATTTAGGGATCAATAGCCAACTTGTATGGATCTCTCGAGTCTTCTTTAAGGGTATGCTTCAAAGATTGACTCTAAGTTTGTGTATTGTAGGACTAACTTTGTGTAGCTGTAAGTTTGTATCCATTTCTCTCGAGATAATATGCAAGTACC